GTGTTTAGAAGTGATATATGTCAGGAATAATGGAACTCCAAAGAACTCTTATTCCCATACATGGGCATCTAGACACATTCCTGGGAACAAGGGTTTCCATGGGATTGAGTTCCTATCCAAATATAATGATGCCATATATGCTCTTTAAGGCTTTAATAGTTTGTTAAATGACTTTCGAGCATTGATTTATATTTAATTACTATTAATTGAATATATAACAATTAAAAATAGCATCATTCCATTATAGCATAAATCCTATCACCCTACTTCTGTTATTCACAAATGCAAAGTTGTCGTTCACATTAAAGCAATATGAGACTTTTAGCATGCTTAAGTATGTAAATCTGAAAGCTTAAAGACAATGGATATACAAATATACAATTATTTAATTATAAAAAAAAATAAAAGATTAGAAGTAAACCTACAGGCCCACCTTCACCGCCTCACAGCTTCACGGAATGTGTCACAGGCCAACCGTTCTTCAATTGGCCTCTTCCGCTTCTTTAACTTTTGGGCTAATTGGCTGAGGAAATATAATCTAATAACCTAAGGAGCACCGAACATAGAAACAATTATTTGTTCAATTATTTCAATTTCAATATTAGGATGTCGTTTATTCTACAAAAAAAACGAAGCTTTATTATACGATTTTTGAAACGAAGTCGTTGGGCAGATGCAAATTTAAAACAAAATTTGATTACTTTGTTGAGTTGTTCAACATCTGAGCAGAAGAAAACCAGATACGGTCGGCAGACTCAAAAGAAAACGAAAGCCCAAGGGCGCCATAAAATATAATACATATATACCTAAAGTATTGCGGTGATTCAGTGAAGGGTGTGCAGGTGTTGACTCACCACTCCCTGATTCCACCGGTGGAAAGCCGACAAGGTACGAGATGTGGAGAGTCGAACCAGTGCCGAGAAGAGTATGAACATTAAAAAAAATAAGTTGATAATACATTTAGAAAATAAACGCAGCGGTTGAAAACTTCAATAATATTTCACATACATTTTCCGGGGATAAACATGCCCAACCGGTTGACAAGGTCCCTCATACTTATGTATGATCGACGAACAAGATCTTTACTCAAAGGATCAAAATCATTAATAGGTCTATGTAAATGTAGATCGGCAACCACATCATCGGGATTTAGTTCAACATGAGACAGTTTTGCCCTTTTATTTTATTTGGTGGGAGTTTTTGAAGACTTTCTACTCAGTATTATTAAGAATTTTAACATTCTTAACCTAACAACTTATACAATAAATTCATATTTTAATTAGCCTTGATTTGTATGTAATCACTACATTCAATATTAAATTAATAAAACAATTTAGCTAAGAAAATAAGTACACATTATACTTACAATAATAAAATTAATTTAAGGCATACCAAACTAGCAGCAGCCTACAGTAGCCAAACTGGCTATGGCATCCCAAATCCCAATCTACTTAATCAAATAAAGAGAAGGATGACCACTAGATCAGTTGACCCACTTTAACAAAACAAATAAAGAATAAATGCCACAAGCCCACCAAATAAAAGGGAAAAAAGATAAATTACCTCTTTTGGTTTTTAGAACAAAGAGTCAAATGCGCAGCAGGCCAGGACTATTCAGCAAAGCTCAAGGTTCAAGCTTTGCCGCTCAGTCCTTCACTACAGCACGGGCGACTGCCCCCAAAATTTCAGTCTTCACCTTCAGGGCACTTTGGCTGAACCAATTTGCAAATTGAATGATGGATAGTCTACCCGGGGGGTATCCTATCCGAGGGGTTATTGCGGGAATAACTAGAGAGAAGTCAGAGTAAATAGGAGGAGAGAGAGTCGATTTTATTAAATGAACTCAGCGTGTGTTGGGATGTAGATTGTGTCGATTACAAGGAGAAATAGGCTGCTATTTATAGCAGCAATAAATGCGATGAGAGTACACGTGTCAGTAATCCGACGGCCGAAGGGTCACATCAGCCTGGTGGCACCGGCAGTGGTACGTTCACCGCATTGAATGCGGTTGGCGGATGTGACGTGGCATTAAATGCGGTGGTTGGCTGTCCCTAAAAGGAATCTTCGATGATTGAGCATGCTTGGCCGAAGGCACCTTGTATGGCCGAGGGCTCCACGTTGCCACGGACCCCTGTGTAGCCGAAGGCCCTGTGTGACCGGAGGCTTGGTTCAGCCGAAGGCTTCTCTGATGCCGAGGGCTTGATAGTGCCGAAGGCTCCTGTTTTTCGCCGTTTTCTCCCAGTGGCCTCTTATGCCAGAGAAGGCTACCCTGTGAGGTTTGGAGCCTTCGGCCAAGGAGGCCGAAGGCACCCCAGTGCGTATTCTGGGCTACGTCGGGGCTTGGGCCGCCGCATTTTGGGCCTGAGTTGTTCCCTGGGCCCAATGAACTTGTGTAGGAGAAGTAGGAGTCTATGGGCCGGGGGTTCCTGGGCCATATACTCCATCAGGAGTCCCTCACTCCTTTTGCCGAAAGGTACTCGAGGGAAAAGGAGTAGATGTGTTGATTCTTCCGGAGGCTCCATCATTTGGTTGGGCGCCTTTGCTTGAGAGCTGCCTTCTGCTGATTGCCGAAGGCTTCCCTCAGTCCCTCACATGTCGAGGGTTTTCTGAGGGAATGCATTCATGACCTTCTTATGTTTGCCGGGGGCTCCCCTCAGTCCCTCATATGTCGAGGGTTCTCTGAGGGAAGCATAGATGTATTGCCTGCGTGTGTTGTGATGAGGGCTGCTTTGTTTCCGCGAGTGGCTTGTAGAAAATTTGTGATATTCTGCCCCTGCCGAAGGGTATGTTGGAGCATGTACCCGGGGGGTTTCTGCTATGATGCCCGGAGGCTACATGCGTCAATTGTAAATTGTTTGTTTCCAAGAAATTTTTGTTGTATATGATCCCCGAGGGGTGTATCCCAGTCCCCCACTCCTTTAGGCCGAAGGTGAGCTCGGGCTGAAGGAGTTATGATGAGTTGATGATCCCCCGAGGGGTTGTATATTGACAAGCCGAAGGCTTATGCTGCTACGGGCTCGAAGGCGTTCGATGGAATTAATTGTCCGTGGGGTGTGGTGGGTGATAGCCGGAGGCTATCATTCGAAGGCACCCCAGTGGCGCCGAAATATAGTCGTTGTAATATAGCCGTTGGAAGGGGAGTTGACGTGGCGTGTAGTCGTTGGTCGGAGGCGGGCGGCGGCCATCCATTGGCTGAACCGGCGGCCCGTAATGATGGCCTTTTTAAATTGAAGCCCAGATTCCGAGGCTGGGAGCCTATAAATACCCCAAGCCCGAACTCATATTCCTTGTGCGATATTTGTGATAGCGAAGCTCTGCCCTTTTGTTTTCTAGAGAGAGAAAGCCCTGTTCGATCAAACCCCAAGTTTCGAGGTCAGTTCTTCACCCGTTCTTCGCTTTACTAGCATACTTCGCTTTTCTCCCTTAGATCTTGTGTTAGAGGTCTTAGGAGCCTTCGGTAGGAACATTTAGGTAGTCCCCCTCAGCCATACTTCTCCTACTCTCCCTTCAGAATCATGTCCTCGCAAAGCGATTCCCAAGATATCTCGGGGGAGCCGTCGGCACAACAGGGAAGCTACTCGGACGTGGAGTCCTCGAGTGCGCAATCCTCGGCGAACAACGATTCAGCGGTTGCCGAGGAAGTTCAAAATAACCTTCGCACCGAGCTGGAGGCGGAGGAGTTCGAGCAGGTTGTCGAAGATGAAGAAATGGCCCTCGCCCTTCAAGTAGCTGAGGAAGAAGAAGAGAAGGAGAGACAAGAGGTCACAATTGCTGTCCTCCCGCTCCGTGGTGCCGGCGAGGCGAGCACCTCCCGGCCACTAGATCCAGAACCCCTCAGCGTTGCCGTGGGGAAGAAGAGGAAGAAGGCGAAGGTTTCTCAGAAGAAGAAGCAACCTGCCGCAGATTGTGGGAAGCCCGTGGGGATCCCCGAGGGACACTCTTGGCTGAATACAGCCGCCCTCGCGCTTAGGTCGAGGGCTGACCGGGCAGAGTGCTACGTTACTCAGCTGCATGTGGGCCCCTCGGCGGAGGTGATTGAAGCGGGGCCCAACGATCTCCTCTCCCAGGCTCCCGAAGGATGTTTCGCCGTCCATGTGCTGTCGGTATCCATGGGCCTCCGGTTCCCGCTGCACCCTTTCCTTCTCGAATATCTGAGATACGTGGGTTTAGCCCCTTGTCAGCTCACCCCAAACAGCCACTCGTACATTACAGGTTTCCTTCAGCTTTGCCGGGCCCGCGGGGTAACCGCGACCCTTGATCTATTTTTTCAAAGCTTCAACTTGTGCCGGGGGGGACATACCAACTCCGAGGGGTTTGCAAACCTGCAGCAGCTTGCCCCTTGGAGGCTTTTTGATGATGTGCCTTCGTCTCACAAGGGGTGGAGGGACCGGTTCTGTTATATCAAGATGGCAGAAAACCCGTTTCCGGGGGAACTGCGCAACCACTTCCGGCGGCATCCGAAGGTGGGAAGTGCCGCTCTTCAGAAGGAGGGGAAGAAGATTGCTGCTTTGCTGCCGGGGGCCACAAAGCACGTGTCAGTCAAGGACTCTACTCTCCCGGAAGATTTGCTGGCCTTAGGCTTTCGGCGTTATCGCTTTCTGGGTGAAAAAGACGAACAGTACCCCGTCCTCGAGAGAGCCCTCGGTAGCATTGGAGGTAGTTACCGGAGGGTCCCGTTTTTTGTACTTAGGGTTTTGTAGTTTCCTTATTTTCTTTCCTTTGTAGTCGACCCCTCTGGTCTGACTCTGTTGTTGTTTTGCAGGTGTAAGCATGGATGTCTCCAACTTCGCAGCCCTCAAGAAAAAGCTGGCCAAAGAGCCCAAGAGGAAGGAGGCGGGTAAGCAGAAACCCGTCAACGAGTTCTTCAGGAAGGATGGGACCACTCAGGTTCCCGGGGGAGAGGTTCCCTCTCAAGCCGTTGGTGCCGGTACCGACGCCGGAGGCTCCAAAGCGGAGCTGAAGAGGAAAGGAGCCGGGAAGGGTGTGGAGCCACCGGAGAAGAAGAAAAAGAAGGGGGGCCCTGAGAAGAAGGACGCCCCCCTCGTCATTGTCGAAGAGCATTCCTCCTCCTCTCCCTCAGCAAATGCTCTTCCTCCCCCCGGGGACCAAGGCAACAACCTGGCCTGGCCCCGGGATGATGTGCAATTCTCCATCACCAAGGGAACTGCCATCATGCATGGCACCCTCAACCCGAGGGAGTTCCTAAGGGGTGCCACGCCTCCGACTGACAAGTCGGTGCTCTCGAGGGCGAAGGATGATGCCCTCAGTGCCAAGGTGCTCCAAGCCTCCGTCACTGTAAGTTTCTCTCCTAACTTTTGTTCAGTTGATGGGCCTGGTGTATTCTTACTTTACCAAGCTGATCATTGCTGTATGACGGTTTTGATTTGTAGGCTGCCCTCGGGCTTGGGGAACTGCTCCAGAGGATGGAGCAATACCAGCTGCAGAAGTTGCAAGCCGATGAGGCCCTGGCGGAGTCCCGGCGACAGCTCCAGGAGGTCCGAGAGTCCCTCCGGCGGGAGACGGAGGCGTTCAATTCCATCCTGGAGAACAACAAAATAATCGCCAGGGCCGAGGGTAAGGCCGATGCTGAGAGGGCTGCAGCGGAAGCCTCCAAGGTTGCTGCGGAGGAAGCCGAGGCTGCGAAGAAGGAGGCTGTTGCTCGGGCAGAGAAAGATGCCATCGCCGCCTTTGTCGCTGAGGGGTGGAAGGCCGAAGAGCACAAACAATGGTTGTCCTCGGTGGTGGAGGCCTCGGTTGATGATTGGGTAAAGGACCACGGGGCTTTATGGTTGGCCCGCAAGGGCAAAGACTACTATGACGGTGGGGAATTCTTTACCCAGAAGCTTGTGTACCGACGGCTGGCCAGGCACTTCAATATTGAGCCGAAGGAATTTGATCCGGCAGCTTACGGCCTTCCCCCTCTGCAGCCAGATGTAAGAGTCCCTCTTCCTGAGGGCGAAGAAAGGCCGGATCTTGAAGACTCCGAGCTCATGCAGGAAGGCGGTGAAGAGGCCGGTGATGATGCCACTTCCAAGACCGCCGAGGAGGGGGCTCAAACTGCCGATACTTAGCTTTACCTTTCTTGTTGTTTGTAGTTGATAGTGCCCTTCGGCCTTGTATTGTAATGACATTTCTTGTAAACTCCAACCCTTGATGATGAATGATATGCCTCCGGGCTTTGTTATATTGAATGCTTCGTTCGCTGAATTCGAGTGCTTGCCTTCGTTTTTTATTTTCCGCGTATGCTTTATTTCCATCTCTGAAGGTCGGAGATCTGTGGACTTTAAAAAATTTTCTAAGTGAAAGCTTGGCTAGAACCTTCTGAATGTATGCCTAGGTGAAAACATAATCAGAAGCCTTCGGTAATAAGGCTCAAACGCCGGGGGCTTGCAGTTGTGGACTCGGAAAATCTTCTAAGCACGGGTTCTCCGTATGCCTTCGGTAATAGTTAGCCTTCGGTAGAGTAAGCTTTCCCGGGGGGCTTGTAGTTGTGGACTTAGAAAATTTTCTAAGTGAGATTCCATTGCATGTCTTCGGTGATGAACCATTGGGATTGCTTCCGGGTTGTAGCGATAGGATCGAGGGCTAAGGTGAACTAGACTTAGGAAATTTCCCAAGTGCAGTTGCCTCTAATGCCCCCGGGAAGCTTGGGATCCTTTGTTTGGTAGTGTAGCTTTAGGTCATGGCCAAGTGGCTCAGGGGAGCCATCGACCACGCATCTGTAGGTGAAGAATTGCCCCCCGAAGGGTCTCCCATTTGTGGACTTGGTCATTTTTTCACGAACTTTCAATAAGTATTGTGAGCATCCTCCGGCCCGATGAGTGACCTCCCACGGGTGCTAATATGTGGACTTAGAAACTTTTTCACCGTTGAATGAGCCTGGTGATCCTTCTTCCTTCGGTATGAACCCTCCGGTTCGTGTAGATAATCGATTCGGCTTGCCTTAGAACCTTGTGTATCCTTCGGTATGTAACGTGTCGTCTTCGATTCGAGCCAGATTTAGGACTTAGTCAAATTTAGGTGAAGCTTTGATAGTAAGCCCTCTTCTTATACCTTCGATGGAATTCTCGTACTCCAAAGTTTCACGCAGTGAAGCCTTCGGCTTTGTGGCCAGATGACTTGTTGTTTGTGAGTTTTTCTTGTGCCTTTGTAGGAGCCTTCGGGAATGTATATCCGAAGTGTTGAGCCTCCGAGGAGAATAGTATCCGGGGAGTTCCTTCCCCCCTACACATCTCTTTTTTTTTTTTTTTTTTTTTTTTTTTTTTTTTTTAGATGGTGTAGGGGAGGCGTCTAGGAACTTGGTTTCTAGGAAAGGCTTGGCCTATATGGGAGCCAACGGAATAAACCGTTGGCTCCCCCTTCGGGAATGACCTTCCGATATCCCGAAGGGTTTGAGGGTCGTTTCCTCGGCCCGAGACATCGTCTGTTGCCTGCTTCCCCTTGGGAGATAGCACGGAAAGCGCCTCGGTTTTGAAAGTCGTCCCCTCAGCCCGAGACATGGTCTGTTGCCTGCTTCCCCTTGGGGGATAGCGCGGGGAGCGTTTCGTTTGTGGAAGTCGAATCCTGGGCCCGGGACATGGTCCGTTGCCTGCCTCCCCTTGGGGGATGGCGCGGAAAGCGTTCCTGGGAAGGGTTTTATTTGTGTGTGGGACACAAATAGCCGGGGGCACTTGGTACCAGCCGGAGCCGAGGGGTGTTGCACCCCCCGGTTTTTTTTTTTTTTTTTTTTTTTTTTTTTTTTTTTTTTTGATGAGAGAGTATGTATAGTATGCATAATGTATGCATAATTGCGTCCTCGCGGGGTACGGCTTATTGAGAAAACACTTGGTGTTTTCAAAAAGTGATGGGGGTGACCCGCACACTTGGTACTTGGTATCTAGATTGTTGTTCCTCCTCCATCGGAGGGAGAGGCCTTGGGCCTATCTTGGTGGAGAAATGAGGGCTTGGCCACTCAGGTGTAGGAGAGAAGGGGGCCTTGGGCCGTTTGTACAATATGTAGGTGATGAAGGCTTGGCCTTTTGATTATTCTTCAAAAACAGACGGGGCCTTGGGCCATTGAACATTTATACTTGTTGAGGATGAGGGCTTGGCCACTCATTGATAAAATTTGACTAGGTGGTGCACGTTCCAATGTCTAGGAATTTCTGTCCCATTAGGACGTTTTAACTTGTATGTCCCTGGTTTGATGATGGCCGAGATGATGTAGGGGCCCTCAAACTTGGGCGCCATCTTCCCTCCTTCGGTGGGTAGACTGGCCTCCCTTCGTCGGAGGACGTAGTCTCCCACCTGGAATTCCCGGGAGCGGACCTTGGCGTCGATGTATCCTTTGACTTGTCTCCTATAGTTTTCGGCCCTGAGGAAAGCTTGCTCTCGGCGTTCTGAGATGAGATGAAGGTCGAGGGCCATGTTGGCGTCGTTGACCTCGGGCTCATATTGTTCCACCCTTCGGGTCGGAAGGGTCACTTCTGTTGGAGCCTTAGCCTCAAAGCCATAGCATAGGGAGAAGGGTGTCTCACCTGTTGCACGCCGAGGGGTAGTGCGGTAGGCCCATAGGATGTTATGGAGCTCTTCTACCCATCCTCCCCCTTCGGCTTCCAGCTTCTTCTTCAACCCTTCGAGGAGGGTGCGGTTGGCATTTTCTACTTGTCCGTTGCCCTGAGGGTAGGCAACGGAAGAGAATGTGTGCTTGATGCCCCAAGCTTCAAGGAGGGCACAGAAGGGGGCTGCCTCGAATTGGGTCCCGTTGTCGGAGATGATTTGTTGGGGGACGCCAAACCTTGTGAGAATGTTCTTGAGGACAAAGTGACGGCACCGGGCCTCCGTGATGCTGGCGAGGGGTTCGGCCTCTACCCACTTGGTGAAGTAGTCAATGGCCACAATGATATACCTGTTGTTGGAGGTACCCCTCGGCAGAGGGCCTACTAAGTCAATCCCCCATCTGGAGAAGGGTATAGCGGTGCTGATGGGGGCATAATTGACCGCTGGTCTGCCGGGGGCCATCTGAAAGTGTTGGCAAGCGGTGCACCTTCGGGCTAGATCAGCACAATCTCTAGCCATCGTGGGCCAGAAGTAGCCCTGAACTATGAGCCTTCGGGACATGGAGAAAGGTCCCTGGTGAGCTGAGCAAGTGCCACTGTGCACTTCCTCCATAGCGACTTCGGCTTCATCTTGGTGCAGGCACCGAAGGAGGGTGCCATTGTAAGATCTTTTGTAAAGCCTTCCATTCTCGAGGGTGTAGCTGGGAGCCCTCAGTTTTGTCAATCTCGCGCGGGCCTCCTCTTGGGGTAGTTGCCCCGTGGTGATGAAGGTGGTGATGTCGGAGATCCAATCCTCCGGTCTCAAATTAATGTTCATAATGGGGCTTGCGTGGATGCTTGAGAGGCTGAGTTCCTCAATTCTTGCAATTTTGGAGAGGTGTTCGGGGGATTCATCCGAAAGTTTAGACAGAATGTCGGCCTCGGAGTTTTGAGCCCTCGGTATTTGGGTGAGAGAATGTGCCTCAAACACTTTGAGCAACTCCTTAGCCGCTTCTTTGTATTGTTTCATCCTTCCTTCCTTGGCTTCGTACTCCCCGGAAATTTGACCCACAACAAGTTTGGAGTCACACTTGACGTGGATCAACTTAGCCTTCAGATTTGCTGCCAGCCGAAGGCCGCAGAGGAGGGCCTCATATTCGGCCTCGTTGTTGGAGACTTTGAAGGAGAAGCGGATGGCATAATAGGCGCGGAAGCCCTCGGGAGTAATGAGGACTACTCCCCCTCCACATGCTTTGGTGGCCGAGGAGCCATCGGTATAGAGGGTCCACCACTCATCGAGGGGTGCCGAGGGCTCCTCCTCCGTTGCTGATCTTGCGGTGCATTCCGTCACGAAGTCCGCCAGGGCTTGGCCCTTAATGGCAGGCCTCGGACGGATGTCTATGTTGTATTGACTGAGGAAGATGGCCCATTTTACCATCCGGGAGGAGCTAGTGGGACTCCTCATGAGGGCGCCGAGGGGTTGATGAGTGAGCACTTGGACCGGATGAGCTTGAAAGTAGTGGCCAAGCTTCTTGACGGTCCAAACGATGGCTAGCACCGTCTTCTCGACGGGAGAATACCTGAGTTCGGCCTCCCGGAGGGTTTTACTGACGTAGAAGATGGCGTGTTGGACGCCGTCCTCCTCTCGGATCAGCACCGAGCTGATAGCCGAAGGGCTAACACCGAGATATAAGTATAAAGTCTCCCCCACCTTAGGTTTGGAGAGCACTGGGGGAGAGGAGAGGTACTTCTTGAGTTCGTCGAAGGCCTCTTGACATTCAGGTGTCCATTGAAAACCCGCCGTCTTTCTCATGATTTGGAAGAAGGGGAGGGCCCTCTCGGCTGACTTAGAGAGGAATCGGTTGAGGGCCGCCAGGCGACCCGTCAGCCGTTGAACTTCTTTAACGCTGCGTGGAGGCTCCATGTTGATGATGGCCTGAATCTTCTCGGGGTTGGCCTCAATACCCCTTCGGCTGACCATGTAGCCCAAGAACTTTCCTCCCTGCACGCCGAAGGTGCATTTCTTTGGATTTAGCCGGAGGTTGAATTTT